CCTGGAGCCTGCTTCAGATTCTGTGTCTTTCTCTCTCTCTCTCTGCCCTTCCCCTGCACACACTCTGTCTCTCTCTCTCAAACATTAAAAAGATTTAAAAAAAATAAAGTGTGCAATCCAGCGGGCTCTGGTATATTCATAGTCGGGCAGCCATCACCGCATCGGTTTTAGTATTTTAATCACCCCCAAAAGAATCTAGTGCCTTTGATCAATCATGCTTCCCTTGCCCCCCAAACCCTCTCCCAATTCCAGACAACCACTGATCTACTTTCTGTCTCTATACATTTGTTCTGGACATTACCTACCGGTAGAATCGTACAACCTGTGGTCTCGTGTCTGGCTTCTTTCGAGGTGCATCCGTGTTGTGGTATGTATTGGTACCTCATTCCTCTTGATTGCCAAGTAATACTGCATTGTGTGGACATATATCGCATTTTATTTACCCATCCAACAGACGATGGACATTTGGGCTGTTTCCACTTTGGTGCTGTTGTGCAGAATGCTCTGTGAAGGTTCGTGCACAGGTTTGTGTGGAGGCATGCCTTTATTTCTCCCGGCTGTGTACCTACCAGTAGAATTTCTGGATCATCTGGTAACTCTATGTTTAACATTTTGAGCAACTGGCGGGCCGTTTTTGAAAGCAATTACCCCATCTTACATTTCTACAAGCAATGTATGAGGTGTCTAATTTCTTCACTTCCTTGCCAGCCCTTGTTATTGCCTGTCATTTTGATTACAGCCTTCCTATTAAGTTTGAAATGGGATCACATCCTAGGTTTGATTTGCATTTCCTTGATGGCTAATGACGTTGAGCATGTCTTCGTGCACTTACGGGCCACTTATGTATCTTCTTTGGAGAAATGTCTATTCAGATTCTTTGTCAAATTTTGAATCGAGTTATAGCAAACCCTCGGTTTGCGAGCATAACTTGTTCCGGAAGCATGCTTGTATTCCAAAGCACTTGTATATCAAAGCAAATTTCCCTGGAAGAAATAAGGGACACTCAGATGATTCATTCCACAACCCAAAAATATTCACATAAAAATGATTACAATACTGTAATGTAAAACAAAATAATAAAGAAAATACAAAATGTAAAGAAAAATAAACAAATTAACCCGTACTTACCTTTGAAAACCTTCCTGGCTGGTGTGCGGGAGACAAGAGAGAGGAGGGTTATTGTGTAGGACAACTGTCACTATCACTAATGGAATCACTGCTATCTGTTGGCTCAACGGAATCTTCTGCACGGGGGCCATCGTAGACACTCGCACGGATGTTGACCACAGTCATATACTGTATGTAATGTAACTGGCAATAAGGCAGCAGAGGAAAGGGTTTCTATCTGCAGGCAGCCTGACCTAGGATGAAGCAAAGCATTCCTAAGCTTACTCTTGTATGGGAAAGCAAAGGACTCTCCCTATATGCTTTGAAGTGACAAAAAATACAGTAGTGCCTGTTGTGGGCACCTTCCAACGTTCTGAAAACTCACTGATTTCTGCCAAGCACTGAGGCGTTAAGACCAAGCATCTGAGCATGAGAGACAATCACCCAGAATCCCTCGGGGAGGGAGGGAGAGGGAGAGAAGAACCATTGGCTCAGTTGTGATCATGTGACTTTTGTCATCAGGTACTACTTGTATTGCAAGACATCGATTGTTTAATCAAGTTAAAATTTATTAGAAATGTTGGCCCATCTGGAAGAACACTCGTAGAACGGGTTACTCGCACACCAAGGTTTTTACTGTTTGCCTTTTTATTATTGAGTTGTAAGAGCTCCTTACATATTCTAGTTACAAGACCTTATCAGATGTATGATTTGCAAATCTTTACTCCCATCTGGTGAGTTACTGTATTAGTTTGCTAGGGCTGCTGTGACAAAATGCCACATTCTGGGTGGCTTAAACAACAGAAGTTTATTTCTCACAGCTCTGGACGCTAGAAGTCCAAGATCAAGGTGTTTGCAGATTTGGTTTCTCCCAAGGTTTCTCTCCTTGGCTTGTAGATAGCCATCTGTTCCCTGTCTATGTCTTCACAAGGTCTCCCCTCTATGTGTGCATCCCGGATGTCCTTTTCTCCATTTATAAGGACACTAGTCACACTGGATTCAGGCGCTATCCTAAGGGCCTCAGTTTGACTTAATCACCGCTTTAAAGGCTTGTTCCCAAATACAGTTAATTCTGAGGTACTGGGGGTTGGGACTTAGACATGTGAATTTTGCGGGGACACAATTCAGCCCATAACAGTTACTTTCTCTTCACTTTCTTGATGGTGTCCCAAATTAAAAAAA